TGTGTGTTTGTTAGTCGATGTGTGTGCATGCCTCCATTGGAGTGTGTAAGTCAACGTGCGTTTGTGTGTCAGTCGATGTGTGTGTACGTCGATGTGTATATGTGTGACAGTCCATGTGTGTGTGTCAGTCCATATGTGTGTTAGTCCATGTGTGTGTAAGTCCATACATGTGTGTGTGTGTAAGTCCATACATGTGTGTGTGTCACTCGATGTGTGTGTAAGTCAATGCGTGTGTGCGAGTCGATATGTGTGTGTTAATCCATGTGTGTGTATCTAAAGTAGATGTCTGTGTGTCACGGTCCATATGTGTATGTAGCCCAATGTGTGTGTCAGTCTATGTATGTGTGTGTAAGTCCATAGGTGTGTGTGTAAGAACATGTGTGTTTACATCAATGTGTGTGTGTGAGTCCACGTATGTCTGTGTGCGAGTCGATGTGTGTGTGTGTGTGAGTCGCTGTGTGTGTGTGAGTCGCTGTATGTGTGTACGTCGATATATGTGTGGGTAACTCCATGTCTGTGTATCTAAAGTGGATGTCTATGCGTGTGTGAGTCCATATGTGTGGAAGTCCATGTGTTTGTGTGTGCGAGTCGAAATGTCTGTGTCAGTCCATGGGCGTGTGTGTTCGTCGCTTTGTGTGTGTGGCTCCATGTGAGTCAGTTTAAGTCCATTTCTTTGCGTGTCTGTAGGTCCATGTGTGCGTATTAGTCCATGTGTGTGCTTTATTGACCTGCTCAAGGCCTATGATACCATCAGTAGGCCTGGGCTCTGGGTTGTTCTTCATGCTTTCCGAGTCCCTGACCCACTGCTCACCATCCTTAAGGACCGTCATGATTGTGAGCGGCCCCACGTCAAACTACGTGCCCGTTAGTCAGAGCCATTCCCTCTACACATTGGGGTGCGAAAGGGATGTCCTCTGGCTCCCAGATTATTTAACAAATCTTTTGACCACGTAGTTCGTGAAGCCTTCAATGGCTGTATCGGAGGAATTACCATATGGTACAGATACAATGGGAGGCTTATCGATGCCCAGGTGCGGTCAAGGGATGGCTCCCTATTGCTCAGCCATGTTATGTATGCCGATGCTCTGGTGACTGCTGCTCACTCAGAGGAGGAGTTGGAGGCACTGCTGCTGAACCTGAAGCTTGGGACTAAGAGGTGGGGCCTTACCATCAGCCCCATCAAAACGAACCACCTGCCTGGGTATTGTGTACCATCGGACAATCCATCCCCAAAACTCACAATTGATTATGCGGCAGTTGTGGAGAGATTGGAGAGATTCCCATACCTGGTCAGTATGCTCATGACCGGCTCCGGTTTAACAGCAGAGGTCTCACTCCAAATCAGTCGAGCGCCATCTTTTCATCGGCTGCGTTATGCTGTGTGGAAGCTCCCTGGCCTCTCGCTCTGCATGAAGCTCCAGGTCTTCTCGGCCACGGTAATTCCCTCCCTTCTCTACGCTTGCGAAACGTGCACCCACCTAATGGAACATCTTTGCCGGTTAGAAACATTTAGGCTGGCCTGCTAACGATCCATCCTGGGTTTAACCATATGTGTGTGTGTGCGTCTAAGTGAATGTGTTTCTATGTGTGTGGGTAGATGTCTGTGTATAAGTCCATGTGTGTGTCTGCCTTTTTCGCCTGGACAACGCCGGGTACTTACCGCTAGTCTTACATATAAAAGTCTTCGCGCACACTTGTGGAGGATTTCGCTCTCGAACAGTGGGGGTTATGTTGAAAATAATTTGACAGGCAGCACGCCCTCAGCTCCGCGGTGGGAATAGGCTATTCCCTTTTCACGTCCGTCACCTTTAAATTTGTTTATAAGCGATTTAGTGAGATTTATATATTCATTGGGCGACATCGGCGGTACCAACTCACGCCAATTGGGTGTTTACGCGTTTCACGTGCAATAAATATACACATAACGCTGCGGCTATTTCTTCACAGTGTCATGTCCTCTTCGCCCCCCCCCCCAACACGATGCGTGCAGTTAATATTACAGAGTCCGTAGATAATATTATAGTGCTTGGATAGCATTATTCTTGCACGGGCGGGGGATGGTGGGGGGGGTGCAGGGGTAGCGACCCAGCCCCCAGCCTGGCAACGTGCCACCTCCGTGGCCTCAGCAATGTAGGCCAGGACGGGGGCTCCGCACGGAACTAGGATCATTGCTTACTGTTATGAAACAAATCAGTTGGCAGATATTACAATAATGTTTCTGTGCACATAAGAACTCAGGTTCATTGTTTACTATGATTAAACTAATCAGTTGACAGATGCTGTACTGCCAGTCTGTGATGTGGCCTGCTGCCTGCTAATTAATTCACGTCAGTGCACTGCCACTCTATTATCTACACTGCTAATTTTGCTTTTGCCCATTATGAGTGTATGCCAGTCTATAATCTGTTGCTGCTTCTTTACCTCACTCAGCGTACTGTCAGCCTTTCATGTCGACTGTTTTCTGCTTTTTCGGCTGCTGCCCGTATTGCCAGCTTTTTATGTCGACTGTAGCAATGCTTATGTCATTGAGTCGGCATACTGGCAGTCTATAATCTAGACTGTAGCTTGCTTCTAAATTTACCTGTGTGTACTGATGCTCTTTCATTATCACTTACTACAGCTTAATTCTTCAATGCATTTCTATTGTCTCAATTGCTCACGTCACACTATTTACTCATACGTAGTACTGTGTTGCTGATTAATGTTCTACTGCTAAATACGTTGGACTTTCTTAGCTACAGCATATTGCATTTTGTCTATCATTTTGTTACATTGGTGGGAACATCACCCATTTCTATTTCGCCGTACCGCACCTTTACTTTTCACCAAAGCGGTGGAGCACGCAGGGAGGTTCAATGCCCCAAATATTGTTGACCTTGCTTTCTTACGGTGGGTGACGAACATTGCCAGAGGGACATTGTTCCTCCATATCAAGAAAACACCATCGCACGATTTCCTGACACTAACAGAGCATACGATGCCGTACAATAACACATTTTCCTGTCGCAAGACCAAGATGCCTACCACGTCAACATTCCTCCAATTACAAAGCTGCAGGACAAAGACATCCTTTCAAAACTGTCTACTCTAAAAATACTTCTATTTTTCATGATCATGGACAGAGGAGGAAACCGCATATGATGGTGCGCCAACCTCTTTCACCAGTATGTTGTCGATTAGTATGCCAACATTGAGAGTGAGCACCTTCTTAACATTCAACTGAATCAAAACCGCCTGCGTGTGAAACGCTCACAATATGGGCAGATTAGTTGCTTTGCCTTCATCCTTCAGAGATCCATAAAAATACATGCATGAGAAGACTCAGGATGCGATAACGTACATCAGCCAATATGCCACGCCCCATCTCTTCATCACCTTCACTTGCAATCCCGAATGAAAGGAGATCCAGCTTTAGCTTTAGTCAAACCAAAAGCCATCAGACAGACATGACATCTTAGCAAGTTTATGACCTCATGATGCTTATTACGACCAACGAAGGCGGCGTCTTTGGATAGACAAGCAGTACCTTGCACACCATTGGGTGGCAAAAATGTCCTCTTCCTCATGCTCACATTTCCCAATGGTTGAGGGAAACAATTCAAGCAATTCAAATTGACACATTTATCAGTACTGAGCTCCCTTACCTTCAACAAGACCCTGCCCTTTTGTTATGTGGTCTGCAACCAAACGGTCCATGGCCCATGTGGCCAGTTCTATCCAAATGCGCCATGTACGCAAGACCACAGCTGTACCAAGAGGTGTCCACGGAACTACTTGAAAGACACTCAGTTGGCCCATCATGGCTATTCTTTATATCTTCACAGAAATACTGAGCATGGTGGATTTCAAACAACGCTCAGATCTGCCACTAACTCGCTAATTAAGGTTCACAACCGCTGGATCGTTCCCCACTGCCCTCCCCTGTGCAAGATCTTCTACGATCTTCATAAAGCTATGACAGAAGCTTCTGTTGGTCAGTCTCCTTTCCAACTGACATTGCTCTTCTGCATAAATCTTCAAGTTTGCAGCCCATCTAACCCCATGGGACTCTGCCAAAAATACAATGAGGGTATGAGTAATGACATTCTCCACGGAGCTCAATGACAAAATACAAACCTCGACGTCAACTTTCATGATGTGATCTTCAAACAGGCCCCCATCCTCCTTTAGGACAAACTGCATTCCATTGGTGCTAAATACCTCGCGTCTATGGGACTACCAACGCCCTACACGGACAACATGCATGCCCTTGCTCAAGAGGTCCTACGTTAAATATGCTAGTATGCTTTACAGCTTCGAAAATTGTACTTACGAAAATTAACAAAAGCTCAAGCATACACAAATCCAAGCCTACACGAACATCTTGGAAGACATTGACACTACAAATTGAGTCTTTTTTTCCCTTGATGCACCTGCCAGTACTGAGAAGACTTTTGTTTTCAAACTGCTCCTCGCTGAGGCTCGCCAGAGAGAGACAATTGCTCTAGCTGTGGCATCATCGGGGATTGCTGTGCGAGTCGATGTGTGTGTAAGTTGATGTGTGTGTAAGTCGATGTGTGTGTCAGTCGATGTGTGTGTATTTCAGTCCATATGTGTGTGCGTTTAGGTCCATGTGTCTGTGTATTTTTTGCACAGGCAACGCCAGCTGTCTGTGTGTACGTCGCTGTGTGTTAGTCGCTGTGTGTGCATGGTTCAAAGTGAGTGTGTAAGTCACTGTAAGTCAATGTGTGTGTGTGTGTATCTAAAGTCCATGTCTGTGTGTATCTAAAGTCAATGTCTGTGTGAGTCGAAGCAGAGAATTAAAGCAAATGCAATCAGGCGATGGGCAGGAGGCAAGGCCCCGCATGGCTAGGCCCCGCGTTGTAATGTTCCGACCTGGACATCGATTCCATTACTCGCTGCTACTCAATTGATATCCCTACGAGAGAGAGAGGAGCGAGGCTCTACCTGGGTAAACAACAACAACAACCACCACAACAACCACGATGTGAACTTCTCACCTCGGCTCCCAGTGAGCGCGCGCGTAGTTCGGCAGCTTCCTGGTGTCTCGTGACGTCACGCGGCAGCAGGTGACATGACGTCATTAGCGGGGTACACCTCCCCTCACGCTGATGAGGTAATGCAGTGGTGACGTCAGAGAGCGGGGTTAGAGTTTAAGTTTATGAAGATTCCTATTCCATTGACCCCTCTATTGAACATTGACCCTTTGGTGTGCGTGAGCTCAACAACGTGAACATTGTGTATACAGTGTGTGTGTACAAACTGTGTATACAGTGTGTGTGTACAAACTGTGTATACAGTGTGTGTACAAACTGTGTATCAGTGTGTGTGTACAAACTGTGTATACAGTGTGTGGGGCCGTCCATAAATGACGTCACGCACCTAGGGGGGGGACGGTCAGACATTTGTGACGATGTGACGATGGGGGGGGGGGGGTTGTGAAGAATGTGACGTCACATGAAAATGCGCAACTTAAATAAATATCGACACGTTCTACTTAATTAAAGACTTTTTAATAAATGTGTTCTCCTACATCAGAGTGCAGCGTCACATTAAATACGCACAATGACAATAGTTTAAAGCGATTTGAAGCATGTGTTTTTTTTGTGACGTCGTGTGACGAAGGGGGGTTGGGGGGTCAAAAATTGCGTGACGTCATTATGGACGGCCCCTGTGTACAAACTGTGTTAATGCACCGTGTGTGCGCGCGCACACGGTGCGTGTATTCAAGTTTTTTTTAAAGTTTAATTTATTAGGTATAGCCCTGTGAGCCATGCGGCTCTTGAGTCGGGTGCAACCGCAACAAACAAAATATGAACAGAGAAACATCTTAAAGCGACGACGTGCAACAGAAACATCCTGGGATAAAGCAGTAAATCTTCCAGAAACAATATCAACCATAAGACACCATTGGAACCTCCTTTGCCAGTAGCAAAATATAATTGTTTTTTTTTTACCCTTTTATCTGTGCGCCTTTTGGCGTCATCTGGTCCAACACCATGTGAGACTCGGCTCGAAGGAAAGCTGTCTCGGGTGTGGACCAATCAATTTCAAGGACAGTACATACATTATCAGAGTTATGTTTTTGTTTGCATTCCGACCGCAGGTATTGTGGTCAATGCAAACATGACTAAAAAAAAGGTGTCAGTTTTGTTGCCAGATAAAAGGGTAAAAAAACAATTATCAACCATAAGACAATTTAGATTAAAGTTATCAGGCCAACTCCGCACTTCCGCAAGAAACATGGCTTCACCATGTTTTCGAAATCACCAAAATAAAGCTATAAAAACAATGTAACAACGGTAATCAAAGGAACTGTGATTCAAATTTAACAATAAACGATATACATAACATATACGTAACGGTCAACCTAGTGAATTGAGTCCTTGACATTAGCAGAGGTATCAAGATATGAAATGTATTAGAACTATGGCCGTGGTAATACCGATATGTTAGTGATGAGGAGGCCAATGAATGACAGGATGGCTGGCATGAAGCAATGAGCGTCGCAAATATACTCAAAATGTCCCCCCCCCCCAATATATTGCTATAAAATAGATGTTTATATGATTGTGGTCGTGGTTGTACTTTATTAATCCCTAATCTCTGCCATTACATACAATGAAACAAGAAAAGGTAAAAAAAGAAAAAAACAGAAAAATGTAATACAATACACTATTAGGCATTATTGAAAGATAAAAAGTCCATCCTATGTGTTAGTGAATTGTTAAATATTTTAGGCAGGAAATTCGTTTTCAAATTTGCATTTTTTTCTGGGGGGGGGACCCCAGACCCTCTGGAAGATTTGGTCCCCTCCAATGTTGACTCCATGGCTACGGCCTTGAACTAATCCATCTCCCATCCTACCAGGCAAAGCCCCACTGAGGTTTGAACTTGTTGTTTAGAAGTGACCTGGCCATCACAAATGATAGCTCAACAAAGTGGTCCATTATTTGGACATTTATAGCACCAAAATAATCTTCATGTCCAGTGAGGCGGGTCAAAAAGTTACAACAAACAATACACAAAAAAATAATAGGAGTGCAGAATATACGAAAGGTAAAAAAGTCAATCAATTAAACAAAAACTCACTTATTCACTGACTATTTATTTAACCAGGTAAGGCCCAATGAGCTATTTAGCTCTTTTTCAGAAGCGACCTATCACAAATAGTAATATCTCAACGAAATGGCTTATCATCATGTGGACATTTATAGCGGCCAAATACTCTAAACGCACGTTTCTAAATGTGGAGGCAAAAAACAGAGAACCCAGAGACAAATCCACGCGACCACGGGGAGAGTGAGACACGAAAACTCCAAATATACAGCATGCGTCAGGGTCGAGATTGAACCCACGACTTCCTGCATACCAAACACCTGGCCACAAATGAAAGCTCAACGAAGTGGTTTCTCGCGTGGAAATTGATAACAGCCAAATAATCGAGACGGGGCCAGTTATAGCATTAAAATATAACCCGCAAGCAGTGACCAGGCCAGAAACAGTATTTCACTTGTCAGTACCACCCGAGGTAGCATCATAAGCCTAAGAGTCATGGTTTTATGTGGCCGACGGTGAATTATGTGATAGCAATTTCCATTGTGTAGGTCATGAAACAAATCACTGCGTTGACCGACGATAGCTCACGAGCAAATAATAAAAACTCAACACGTTCATAAATCGTCTTCTTCTGTCGTATGGCTGCTGATGTAGATGCAGAGCAACAACTTATAATTTCACATTCAGGTGAAGTCAGATAACCAGCGTCCAGACAGATAACCGCTCCACCTACTGAATTTTGTGAAAAAGAGCTTTACAACTCATCGGATTTCTCCAGGATAAATTAAGATTCGGATTCTGAGAAGTGACGGCAAGGTGGGGGACCTCTTGACCTTGCTGTGGGCTCTTAAAGTAATATTAATTTGTCCAAGGTTTCACTTTCACATCAAAACTATTTTCCAATGTTGCTCAGTATTCTATTGGGATGCATGGCTAATTTAGATCATTTTGCTACAATAAACGTCCAAATAACACGCCACTTTGTTGAACTATTGTGGCCAGGTCGCTTTTGAAAAATAAGTTAATACCTCAGTGGGCTTTGTCTGGGAGGATAATTTAGTTTTATTTGCATGCATTTTGGTGTGTTTACCTCTAAATACTTTTTGCTATGTTTTTGTACTGTTTGTTGTAACGCTCTTACCCGCCCTGACTGGACATGTAAAAACGAGCTTTATAGCTCATCGAATTCCACCAGTATAAATATTCTGAAATTATTTTAATGAGCGACGTTCCCTGTACAGGCAGTACTCGACTTACGCACACCCGCACTTATGAACAAGCTTCCATGAAATGTTTTTAACATTGACTTAAAACATAAACTCTCACATGCAAATTGAACCGTGGCACTATTTTGTCCAGCGGAGCAATCTTCCTCAAGATGTAATGAGTTAGCCTTGTGCTGGGAGTGTTGGTGCGTGTGGGCATTTAAATACAGTAAATTACTGTGTTCAGGCTTACGAACCGTCCTCCTTTCGAACGGGTCTCAGGAACAAATTGAGTTCATAATTCGAGGGCTGTCCGTACTAGTGCATTGCATATCCAGCTCACTGTGAACAAAGGAAAAGTTGCAAATGTGAACTGCTTTATAGAAATTGAGTTATACCATGCACAAAAGCTGCACTGGGTGCGTTAGTTTGGTTCATTGGTCAGGTTGGATATTAAATGTTGTAAGTTTATCATAAAAAAACAAAAGTCAATACGTAACTCAAGCTATTATTTTATTAGCTTCTACAAATCGATAAACATTAACACGCTTAAAAGAAAGTTACACATGGGCTAATTTAATATAAAAAAAAAACTCATACAACACTTTATACACACTGCATTCGTACAACTTATTGCCGAGGGTTAGCACAAGGCGATGTGATTTCACACGCGACCACTCTTCAAGTTTTCAAGTTTCATTTATTTAGGTATAGCCCTGTGAGCCATGCGGCTCTTAAGTCGGGTGCAACCGCAACAAACAAAATTTGAACACAGAACATCCCAAAGCGACGACGCGCAACAGAAACATCCTGGAATAAACCAGCAAATATTCCACACAAAAAAACGTATTAAAACGCTGTGTGCAAAAATCACAATGTGGTGCAAGCCAACAACAACAACTATAAGACAATTTAGATTAACCATATGTTTTTGAATCACCAAAATAAAGCTATAAAAAAACAATGTAACAACAGTAATCATAGGAACTGTAATTTTAAATTTAACAATAAACGATATACATAACACTTACGACAAAAACCTGCAGCCATAGCTGGCAGCACGACACTCCCAGTGTATGATGTGTGAGTCAGCAGCAGCGTGAGTGAGTGTATGATGTGCGAGTCACTGTATGATGATTGAGTCCGTATTAGGTTGAGTGAGTGTATGATGTGTGAGTCAGCGTACGATGTGTTAGTCAGCACATGATGAGTGAGTCAGTGTATGATGTGCGAGTCAGTGTATGAGTGAGTCAGTGTATGATGTGTGAGTGAGTCAGCAGCAGCGTGAGTGTATGATGTGTGAGTCAGCGCACGATGTGTTAGTCAGCGCATGATGAGTGAGTCAGTGTATGATGTGTGAGTGAGTCAGCGGCAGTGTGAGTGTATGATGTGCGAGTGAGCCAGCATATGATGAGTGAAATTGTGTATGATGAGTGAATGGGTCAGTGGTTGTGCGAGTGTATGATGTGTGAGTAAGCGCATGATGAGCGAGTCAGTGCATGATGTGCGAGTGAGTCAGTGTATGATGTATGAGAAAGTCAGTGTCGGCTCCCTCAGCTCGCTCGTCGCCCCCTCCCCCCCCCTCCGGCTCCGTCGCCCCCCTCCCCCAGCTCCGTCGGCCCCCCCCCCGGCTCCGTCGCCCCCCCCCCCCGGCTCCGTCGTCCCCCCCCCCCCCCCCCCCCCGGCTCCGTCGCCCCCCCCCCCTGGCTCCGTCACCCCCCCCGGCTCCGTCGCTCTGACATGGGTCACGCAAACATACCTAAAAGCAAACATACCTGTCAACCCCCATACGGTTTACCTGTATTCTAGTATAGGGAAATTGAGTAAAAAGAAAAAGGTTTT